CATGTCGTTTATTCGCTGAAATCAATTCCACAGATCATACTTCAACATCGATTATTCACTTCCGCATTGCCTTACCGGAAAGTCTTCGGGAATTTCCTAAGAATTACGTCAGTACAACACAGCATCTGATTAGTTAATAACCAACTTTGACCCATTAGGTCAAACGACGCTGCTGTAGGTCAAATCTACAATTGCATCATGGCGGAAAGTGATTTTCATCGAGAGTTTGCGTACAATCCAACAACTTCGTCAGTGGAAATAATATGACAATTTTGACTTCGACTGTGTTCCAACAGACTCAAATGTTTTTAATTCCATAAATTATAGTGGTACATAATTAATATTGTAATAAAATGTGCATATTTTTTGTGATCATTTCTGTTTCTTCATTGTGAAAATCAATGACGACGCAAATTAATTTAGTAATTTGATTTTCCCTCAAAGACGTAATCTGTCACTTGATGAATCAAAATTTTCATTTGCACTCTTTTTCGAGGGGGGTGCTCGGGTAAGCGCCCACCCCTACAAAATCGTGATTTTCTGAGTTGAGGCCCCTGGGCGCTAACCCGGTCGAATACGGTAAGTACTACTAATGATAACTAATGATATATCAGTATCACTTCATTTATTTATTTTCATTGAAATAATGACCACAATGAATACGCTTATTTTTTTGTGTTAATTTACTTTTCAATAAAGTGTATCTATCATGTCAGTACGTTTTTTTGTGTTGTTTACAAAGTGTTTGTGGAAAAAAAAAAAAAACGTTGTTTGGTGACCATTTTGAATTTATAATAAAATCATTAGCGACATCTTGAATTCGCTGAAAAGACTCGCAGTTCAAACTCAGTGCTTTTCGATCAGAACCTCACAGGCAAAGTCCCCGCAGTGTTTATCACGGGAATCAAAATCACTTTCCGGCATTCAGAGTCACCATCGTAAGATTTTAGAGCCTTTTCCGTGAGCTTCTAAAACACATGTACTCAGCTATGCATGAAAACCAAGTACTGCAGCACGTCTTGATAAGTGTCAATTAAAAATAGCCACGAGGCAAAACGTTTCTTTTACGTTGCATACATGTATACGGGTAACCATGAGAAAAATGCTTGGGGTTGTAATATCACACAATAACGAGGTATATAAGGAAACTGAATAAATTAAAAAAACAGTAAAATTATCCTGATTTCATGCATGTTCTGATGACACAGTGTCAGTCAGTCAGTCAGTATTTTTATACTGCAAACAAAAACACAGTGCACATGAAAACAAATTTCTAATGTCAGAATTATGTACTCATCGAATTTACCAGTAAGCACAGTCAAACAATGATTCTAATTCTAATCAATAACAAAGTAAAACTCACGTAATGTGACATCACTTTCTAAGCTTGAACTAACATTTGCACATACATGTATATATTCGATATGGGTCCCATGTTGCACATAACAACAGCCGAGTAAAAAGGGTTTCTTATTCATACAAAATTGGAATGCATTAAAATGTACACATCCATGACACCCACGAAAGCACGAAAGATTTAACACAATTTCATGAAATACAAATTTTTTCAATAAACAAAGATAGATACATAAATTGATGTTGTGGAAATTGGTTTCAGTAATTTACTCTTTTTAGAAATCACAGAAATTATGTAGATGTTGTGTAAATTATCATGCTGTACAAATTACCTTGTTCACACGTGAAGGAAAAGAATTGTTCGACAAAGAATTTAAAAACACTGCAGAACAAATTAATTAAGCTGGTTACAAATGTAGTTAAGTCAGAGAACTGGTTTTGATCCCAAGGTTCGTATGCATTTTTATTCCAGATGCATTATTTTCAAGAAAAAAGTGAATAATAATGATATTTCATACTTCTAGTACTTTCTGTTATTTTACAATCTGCACTTTGCATTGTTATTGTTTTACAACCATGGTACTAACATGTAGACAGTCATACCTTATTGGTTACTGTACCGAGTTATACTGTAATAGTTAAATGGATTGAAGATTTGTATATCCCTAAGAAGTTTGGATGTTTCTTAGCCTGTGCCAACTGCCATTACATTATAATCTCATACTTTGTTCAATTTGATCAATATGTTTTAGGAAATTCTGGAATAGCACAGAGGTGCTAACACATCTCTTGCTGCAAGCCTAAATTAGATATTAAACATAATTTATATAAAATGGCATCCGCAAGGCAATGTGCTAATATACTTACACCACATTTGCTCTATTAGTAGTGCCATACATGTGTACCGTATGTCACAAGTGTGTTATTATGAGCAAAATAACTTGCATTTTAATGATTCAGTCGGCATTGCATTCAATTTTGGCTTTTTATATCATAGACCTTAGACAGGGAGATGCTGATATGTACTTCTAATAGAGCAAATGTAAACAAAAAATGCTAATGCAAACATCTTATGTGTATGCTGCATCACTTATTATTTGCAATAGCAGTTTTGTCTAATATTCATAGATTTAAATTATTCATACATGCTTTCAAATTTAATAATTATACTTCATAATCATGCATATAGAACTGTTTTAGTTCCACAGTGTGTTTGAGTCAGCCATAATTTAAATGAATTAAGCACCAAGTACATTGTATGCAGACAAAAGACCATTGAATTACAAATGAAAACTACAACTACTTATGAAAAGTGGCATATCTTGTGTTTATTAAATGCACGTTTTCTCGCTGAACTCGCGCGTCAGAGTGTAGATTGGGCCTTCAGGGTTGCGGTAACACGCTCCAAGAGTCCGGGATCGACGGAAGAATTGAAGAACAGAAGTCAGTACGATAAAGAAATATGACTCGACAAGACCGTTCATAAATAATACTTAGGCAAAATGTTTTTGTTTGTTTTAAATAGTTTGAAAATTCTATATTATAATATTATGTTTGGTATTAATTTAGTAGAAAGTATAATGGTTTACTACAGTTTTTCCAAAAGCGGAAACAGTATAACTGTGCGAATAATGGATGGTGTTATTGGCATTTAGTTTTTCAGACAGTTGCTATTGTATATGGTATTGACAAAGGCCATAGCCTATCCAGGTCAAGACACACATCTTAAGCACAAAAATAAATTTATTCGGATCTTACCCCCAAATTCAACACCAGACGTACAGGGTTCCTTGGATGAGGCGGAACTAGAACATGCCGCTGCCGCCGCTACCGCCGCCATTTTATTTGTGTTGTACGTTCAGTCCGGTCCCACTGCCTAGGCTAAACACGTTTACGTATGTCGTTATTTCCGACGAACGCTGTCAAATTCCGTTAACTTGTCTCGCAATAATGAAGGGCAAATTCTCTTACTTTCCAACTGTAAATATAAGTCCAAAGTGGTAGCTTTCCAACTTCAGAGGAACAGAAATATACGTACGATCGAAATTCCGGGAATGCCCAGACTATTGACAGTGAAGGAATCATGGGTAATTTACGTCATTCTGTAACCTTTTACCCTTTTCAGGACGACCCGGGAGATCATCCAATATTTTGATAGAAGTGGGTTCGGCTCTCGACTTGTTAGCAAATATCAATGTATATCTGATTTTTTTATCGAGGGAATTTATATTGAGAAACTATCCTTTATACTGAACACTTAAAAAAAAGAAGTGAAACCACACACACGTGTTTTGTTTCTTTACTTTCGTTCCGTAATGGGTAGGAAAGTGGTACATAGATGGCTAAAATTGATAACTAGTCTAGTAAAACTCCCTTCTATTTTTTTCAAAGAGATCAAATCTCAAAAATTTAAATTATCGTTGACTAAATTAATATTGCAAGGAAACACTCATTTCATAGTTGATTTAAAATGTATTTATTTAACTCCGTGACTTATCTACATACAACACCACGACTGTTATTAGTGTTACAAATGTAATGACTTTTACAGCCCACGATTTATATGACGACATGTTGCTGCATTCATATATTACCGTTGAGGGCAGTATAACACACTGGAACTCAACTTTTGACATTCTCGTAAACTACTAGTACTACTAATCCCTGGGTGTCAAATCTGCTAGGACCACAGAGCACACAGGAAAGATTATTGGCGGTAGTATGATAGGTATACTAGATATTAAATGTCAGTGATAACAAAAAGGCGCCATATAAATAGCGCCTATATTTGTACGTAGATTGGGACGTAACTGAACTGTGACCTTATCACATCAATGTATAGTAGCTAGCAATGTAATAAGATATTCTTTATTATATATATATATATATATATATATATATCAGTAATTTTAATGAAAAAAAAGTACATTTTTCTTAGTAATAGTGACACCTGTTGTTTAGTGTGATGGACCCCCACGGTTGGGTACAGGAGCATAGAAGTTTATAATTAAAATTGTTTTCCATAAGAAACATGAAACCATCATACATGGCCTTATAAACAGCCTTTTACTTTTACTTATTTTTATTACTTTTTGACCATCTAGTTTGCCATTTACCATGTCCATATAAACTAAAGCTCCAGCCAATATCAGATTTGACTACTTGTTTCAAGCTATGGCACTTGGAAATGAGTGTTGTGACATGTGGCAAATGTCCAACTGTCTTGGTTAATAAGATTGGCTATATTTCAACTAGCTGTGGAATCATAGCCCTATGTTGCCGACCGCATTATTTACGTGACTGACTCTGGCCGGCCCATAGGGCTATGGGGCCTTGTGCGACTGAATACCGGTTAAAATCCACATGCCAAATTTGGTCGTCGCGAGAATCACATTTTAAGACCTTCGAAAGTACTCACTATGTTTATTTACTTCCAAACAATGACCAGAACCTATTTGCGCTGTGAAATGAAGATGGTGGTCATAAAAAAATTGACTTTATTTACCGTACACCGAGTCGCAGAAAAATAACAAGACGAAAGACGCCATTTTGGACTAGAGTTACGCGAGACCTATAGCAAATTACGCGAGACCTATAATTTTGTACCACGTGACCGAAATCAGTAGATAAATTGCGTTTATGCAACTAGTTTCTATTATTAAACAAAAATCATACAATTATAAATACTGTATGTGATTGCTTTGTTGGAACAATTAGAATAACGGGAAGAGTGAGTTTTATTCTTCCACCACTGTATCACATGACCGCCAAACGAGATTACATTTATTCTGTGCTAGGGAGTGTGGGATGTCAATGGCTGTCGTTTTCTCGTAATTTGCTTGGTTTCCGCGGTAATTGTTTG